AATTTCTTAATAAAGTTAATAAAATAGATTTTAAAATATATTTTTTACTTAATAAATATATAGCTAAAATTAATATTCAAAATTTTATTAAAAAATTTAAAATTAAAAAAATTAGTAAAAATCTTTGTAGGCAAATTTGTCTGTATTACAATTTAAGGGATAAAATTTTTGCTAAAAAGCTATTTCCTGTATACTAGGGTATTGTGACTTATATTAGACATTCTGAGTTTGTTAAATTAGCAATATGTTAGATTTTACTAATTGTTTTTTTTCAAAACTTTTGGTGTTTTCTTGTAGTGTAATTTCTCTGGTTAGTAATTTAGGTATTTCTTATTTGCATTTATATTTAGGCCTAAATATATTCTTGGTCCAAATAGTAGATTTGCTCTAAGCTTCTGGAGATCTTGAAAGAGATCTTAAAAAAGTATTTTGGTTATGAGTTTTGAGTAGTCCTTCAATAAGTTTAGATCTGATACTATTTTGTGCTAGGGTATAGATTTTGGTATTTCTATTAAAGGTTTCTAGTTGTGTATTTCTAATCTATTTCCAGTTAATATTAGAGTTTCAAAATAGTTTTTAGTATAGTTTCTGAGTATTATTTTGGCTTGTTTTCTTGGGATAGTTGTTAGCTTTTTCCCATTAATATGTTTGCTTTCTCAGGTTAATGTTTCAGTATTTCACTAAGATAGTCTAGTTTTGAAGTTGTTTCTGGGTATAGTTTTTAGTATTTCTACCAAGGCAGTTGGGTTCTAGAGTTATTCCTGGTCAATATTTTGAATTTTTGCTAGAAAGTACAAAAATATTACAATGCTATAACCTTTTGCAACTACATAGCATAGTAACAAGATTATCTGGTGTAGAGATCTTGCTATTAGAATATATATAAAGTGGATATATTAATTCTTTTTTAACCAAACCTTTCTAAACTAAACTCTCTCTTATCCAAATTGAAAACTTTAAGACATTTATAAATTTTATTATAAAGTTTGGATAAGCTTATAATACCTCTTTGAGAAATGAACTAAAAACTTAAGAACAGGCTATTCAGATAAGAGAAAATTGACTGTATATTTAAATTTTTATAGTAAGAGACAAATGTTTTGTTATTAGGTTAGTACAAGTCACTCTCATTATAGTGAAAACCTTGGGCTGTGAAAATTTCTTTACTATATCGAGAGATTTACTATATTGAGAATCTCTTGATATAGTGAAGATAATAATTAAATAAACAAATCTTCACTATATAGAGGTCCTATTTATTAACTGTTTATCTATTTATTTATTAGATATTTGATTTTTATAGATAAACAGTTAAAATAGATTAATAGATAGATATCTGGTTATTTAATAGATTATCTGATTATTTATGCAAGAAATGCAGTATTATATAAAGCATTATTTGAAAACCCCTTGCATATTTTTATGCACCTCTTACATAATCATGCATAAAATATGCACAATTATGCACAATTATGCAAGGGGTACATAAAAATATGCAAGGGAGTTTCTAAATATATTTATCTGTTCGGATATCTGTTGAATATCTGTTACAGATATATCAGATAATCCGGATAAATTTTTTAGATATCCGATATAATCAGATAGATATCTAGATTTAATAACGCAGATAAATAGGTGGCAGATTTATTCGAATAGGATCTCTATCACTATATCGAAAGAAATATCTAAAATCCATTACACATAAAACGTTATTATAATTATCTATTATTAGTTATGGTACCAAAAAACTATTGGTGGCCTTTCTGAAATACCATGCTACAATTATATTATAGAACGTTAGCATTTATTAATGGATCCGAAGAGATAAAATATTTTTCTTTTTACAAAGTAAAGCATTCAAAAACTGAAATTTCATATTTTTTACTTGTAAATACACTAACAAATATGAAATAAATTCATTTAAAACCAAGCTGATCTAAAATAATAAAATTTGAAAAAAAAAATCTTTTGCAAAAAAAAAAAAGATTACCTCGAATTTTCTAGTTTACTATATTTAACATTCATAAATTGAAAATGAAATAATGTCTAATCAGTTTTGTTCAACTAGCTTTTTGCTTTCGCACTTGTTCTTGTAATTTTCTAATTTTGCTCTAAGTCAAATATTTAAAAAAAAAAAAAAAAAAAAAATTTGATCTAATTTATATTGCAGATAAATGCATCTAAGGTGGCTTGATGTTTGGAAGCAATAGTTTTTAAAATTTTTTTTTTTTTAATTTCTCTAAATTCCGAATAAAAGAATCATCAACTTTAAAACTGCTATCTGGCTATTGCTCAAGAAAAGTTAGGATCCCACAGATAAATCTTAAGGCCTCTGCAAGAGATATTGATTTATATAAGCCTTCTTTTTCTGGTTCAATACAATTACGGTTCTTAATGGCTTTGATTATCTCTTCATTAGTTGGCATTTCAGTGGTGATAAGATTATTGTCGGCAATCATATATTCTCATATATCTATAGGTTGGTCAAGAGATAATCGCATAATCAAATTCTAAATCTCATCAGTAATGTTAGACTCATCGGCTTGGTCAGGTTCTTTAAGTGAAAACAATTCATTAAGAAAACTCTCTGGCAAAATGCCAGTTTTTCTCCAACAGTTACGGATCGTCCCTAGAGATAAAAAATTAGTCTAGTTAATTAAAAAAATTAATTTAATTGACTACTATGTTTAGTTGATTAAATAATCGACTAAAAATAGTAGTCAATTAAATCAATTTTGATTCTTACTTGAAGTTACTTTTTTTCATGCAGTAGTAGTAAAATTGATCGCATCTTTGATTGTTAACTCTTCGGGAGAGTCACCAGATTTTAAAAAAAATCAAAAGATTCTATATAATCCTCACAAAAAATTTTTTTATAATGTGCCTATATAGAATAAATAATTTAATAATTCATTAAGAAAAAAATAAAAAAAACTTTAATTAGCTAACCTTGAAACTTCAAATTATTCTAGCATCACATAGCTAAAAATACACTATTGTGTGTAAAGAAAAAAAATATAGTTTAATATTTGTTGGAGTAAAGCCCTCTTCAAGTGTGTAAGTTGAAGCTCCATCTACTATAAGAAGAATTGAACAATGAGCAAGTCGCATTTGGTTATCTAGATGCTTAATGTAATTGTTAAAAATGGATATTTGCATTCAAGAGGAACAATTCCAGTAATAATACACAGGTAAGGAGGATTTATCAATATTTTTAAGGGCTTGAGAGGTTTTATATTTATATATAAACAGAGAAAGAAGTTTGTTGCATTATATGTAAGCAAAACAGTAACACAATCTTTGGCTTTTTTTTTCCCTGCAACAGGGCCATCAGCTAATGTTTTATCTGGTTCCATACGCAAGTATAGTGCAGTTTTATCGGTATTATAAATATCCTCGGGTTTGTATTTTTTGATTATTTCTTGCAGTTCACTGTGAAATCTAGGAAGATCCTCAAGAGATGCACTTGCACCTTCATCTAAATATTTGTATTCTTTTATATGATGTCATTTTTTAAAATTTGCAAGCCATCTGTCAGAAGAATTAAAACCTGTTACTTTGAGCCCTTCTGCAAGTTGTATTGCTTTACGTTGAATTATTGTACCCATAACCACCTGCAGTACAGTATTTGCTCTTGATACTCAAAGCGCAAGTGCTTCTTTTAACAGAGAAAATTTTCCAGATCTTTGTCATTTTGAGTGAGCATTGTTTGAATTTAAAGATAGGATGAACATCAATTATTTTTACTAGTGATTACATTATTAATTTTTTTACAATAACATTTAATTGAAATCAGATAATAATTATATGATATTTATATTGTATAACCTAGGCAAATTTCATTCAATCTAGGAAGAATTAATAATATATGCAAGTATGTTTTTTTAAATAATACAGGGGTTCAAATTATTATAATTAGAATTAGAGGGTCTAATATATCTACTCCAAAACTTTTATAAAAATTGATTATATTTTTAAAAACTTTCATATATAATATGTGTTCGATTTTTGTGTAATATTTTTTTGGTTGATCTACTTATATAAGAAATGATCTACGTTCACCCTACCCTAAATCAAGTGTTAACCACTTCTCTTTTTCACAAACAATGCCTGAAATTGTTGCTTTAGCAACACCAAACTGTTTAGCTAGTTTAACTTGACTAATTTCCTTTTGCTTTAAGCGACATATTTCAGCTTTTTGAGCACCAGTTAAGCTTTTTCTTTTTTTGTCAGTTTTTTTTTTGCTTTTTTTCGTTGGTCCTTTAGAAGATCTCTCTATTGTTACTATTACAAGTAATTAAGATAATAAAAAAAAAAAAAAGGGCATGTTTCTAAAATAAGGAATAATATGATCAAAATAACAAGTTGTTGAGGGCAATGTTCCCAGAGCCGGGTCTTATCAAGAATTCTAAATTTCATTAAGGTGTAAAAAATTAAGGTCTGTTTGTATTTTAATTAGAATAATCTTAAATAAAATAAAAAATGAATCTATCAAATTAAAAAAAAAAAAATAGCTCTTTTTTTTCTTTAAAAAAAAGTCTTTTTTCAAAAAAAAAAAAAAAAAAAAAATCTGCCTCTGCAAATTTTAAGCATATTTAAATAATCTTATCTTATTTTTCTTGTTCTGATAATATTGTTCAAGAATGAAAGAGTGAATTGCTATAATTTAAAAAGAAAATTTATAGAATTTATAAAATTTGGTGAGTTCCAGAGGTCAAAAGCAAAAGCAGTTGGTTGGGTTAAAATAATGATAAATTATGTATAGCGGTAATAAGGGTATGACAACTGATCCGTTGGTTTGATTGGTCAATAAATATCACATGACAAAATCTTTGCTATAACACAAGACATTTTGTTATATCTGTTTATAAAAATCTTCACTATAGCTTATATCAAGAGTTTACTATTTAACTTTATTATAAAGAGCAAAGATTTATTAATAATGATTCTGTTTCAAAAAAATTCTTTACTATAAGTCACTCTTCACTATATTGAGAGTTCACTATAACGAGAGTGACTTGTATATTTTTAACTTTTATTATTTTATTTATTGGAACAAAAGTATAACCTCATCTACTAAAAATCCTAGAGAAAGTTATATATTACAAAAAAAAAATTTATTAGACTAATTTTATATAAGAGATAATTGTTTTTAACTAGATACTTGTTAAAACCTATAGATATCTATCTTAACAAGAAAAAATTATGCTTTTTTTATATATCTTTAACAGAATAGAAGAAAGAATTGAAAGTATCATAATATTAATCTAAGGAAGCTGAGAGTTGTGTTGAAAGAGTTGAAGGCTGTTTTAAGAGAATAGAGGGAATAGAGGGAGTTAAGAAATATGTTGAGAGATTTGAAGGTTGTGTTGAGAGAGTTGAAGATATAGTTGAGGAAGTAGAGAACCATGTATAACTTTAGCCACAGTATAAGCCATAGTGGCTTAACTCTAATAAATGCTTATTAATTATACTAATTATATAAGCTGCTATTAATAGAAATTAGGCAGATTGACTTTTAAAAAAAATTCATACCTCAACTTTCACAGCTCTCAATGAATTTTGAAGCTATCTTGATAATTCAATATTCAAAAGAAATCTTAGAACTTGATCTTTCTTTTAAATATTAAATTATCAAACTAGTTTCAAAATCCATTAAGATATTAACTGTAAAAGTTGAGGTATAGATTTTTTTTAAAATGTCAATCTGCCTGATTTCTATTAATAGCAACCCATATAATAAATAAATATAAATAAAATACATAAATTATAATTAAGTTAATAATATAAAAATATAAACTATTGTTTTGTACTATTTTATTTATGAAAACCTGATTTACAACACTATATATCAATTCACTTAAGTATTAATAAAAGTTTAGAGCAGGGTGCTACACCCCAATATTAAAAAAAAATAAAAAAAATAAAAATTTACAAGCAAAATAGTGTGACAAATCGGATGACTATATGTACTATAATACAGTATATAGTATATATATATATATATATAGTATATACAGTATTATTTTACTTTTTTTTAACTATTAGTATAAAGGCCTAAATCCAGCTCATTAAATATTTTAAATACGTACAGTATATACGTATTTACAAAAGCCAAATTTATGGTATTAATTCTAACAAATTTGTTTGCTAAACATTATAGTTTAATAAATATAGTAATACTTTTCTAATTACTACAAAAGTTTATATTTTAAACATTTTTTATAAATAATTATTTTTATTATAGTTAAAATTCCAAACTTTTAATACGTATTTTTTTATGCGTATATAATAATTTTTCATTAATTGTTAATATAAAAATAAAAACGCTTAGTAAAAAATTTTAGCACCTTCAAAAATCACGTGCTTCCATTTATAAGAGTAAATAAATTTTAATTGGTTGTTGTACATTTTATATGAAAAGTAATTCCGGGAGTTTATTCAAATAAGCGAAGATACATAGTAATTTATTTTAACGCTTAAAAAGATCGACACTCAAATATAATCTCAACATGAACGCTGACGAACTTGCACAGTATCAATACCAACTTGATCAAGTTAATCTTGCACTGAAAAACGATCCCGAAAATTTAGAACTCTTGAAACTAAAAACCGATCTAACAGAACTAATTAGCTTAACGACAACTATTATCGATCAAGAAACTGTTCCACCGACTCCGAAAAGGTCACCTTCATCTATTTCGCCTAAAACAAATTCTACGCCAACTACACCGACCTCAAATCCAATACTAGGTCTTTCTAAACCTCTTCAAGTGGGGGATAGTTGTTTAGCACGTTGGTCGGGAGACGGCCAGTTTTATCCAGCTACGATAACGGCTATTGGTGGTGGTGATCAAGTTTTTTCTGTTATTTTTAAAGGTTTCAATAACGTTGAACTTGTTAACGTTCAAGACATTAAACCTCTGGATAAGAATAAAAAAAAATCATTAGCCGAAAGCAAAAAGGAAAAAGAACAAAAGAAAAAGAAAGCCGGTGAAGGCCAAAAGAAAGTCAACGAACAAGTAGCAAAGCAAAAAACTTGGTTGGCATTTGCGAGCGGTACAGCTGTAGCTCCTGGAAAGAAGACAACGAGAACGAAAAGACTGGTACAACCTCCAATCAATAAGAGAAGCATTTTCGCCACTCCAGAAAATCCAGAAGGCAAAGGTAGTGTTTTAATCACATGGAAAACAATTAAAACATTAATTCATTGATCAATAATATAATTAATTAATGTATATACTTTTTAGTTGGCGTGGTTGGGAGCGGTAAACCCATGACACAATTTCAACAACGTGGTAAACATATATTTGATCGAAATTAGATTTAAGTCTGAGACTGAGACGGAATTTGTTCTTTCTTTTTTTCTCTTTTTTATATCCTTTTCCCCAAAATGGATATTTAATAGACCAAGCGAGAACATTATTCAAATTTGTTGAAATTGGATGATGCTATGAATATAGGGCAGTAAGAACATTTTGTTTCGTTCTTTTATTTGATCTTTAATTCCAGAACATTATGATTTATATCTTAATTTGCATCATTCAACATTTATCCGTATCCGAAATATATATAACTTGAGACAAAGAGATTATATATACAATTCAAGATATTGTAGTTGGGTTTAAAGCAAAGGTAATGATAATATCTAAAAAAAACAAGGTTGTATTTCTGTTTTCAATGAAAAATTGCAGTTCGATTCAAGTACAGTACAATAAATGTCAAATATATCCTTACTACAGTACTACAAAATTTCATTAACATTTTACCAACTTTATATATTTAACTTTTTATTTATTCTTTTCTCTTAATACAATGCGAAATGTAAAAAATATTCTCTTCCAATATCTGTAATCTTGAATGTCTCATATAACTTATAATGTAAAAATATATAAAAATATTTTTGTATAAAGCTATATTTTCACATTTATGTTGTGTACATATTTCTGTTAAGTATAAAAAAGCATCCTTCCGGATCAGATGGATTCAAAAGAACCATATTTCCTTTTGTAATCGATTTGCCGTTTAGAAACATCCAACCACTCAAAAAATTCACACTTTTGACCTTCATTAACTCCTGCAGCATAACACATGTAAAAGTATCGGCCAATGTTTGAGCCCCGCATTACTGGTTTCAAAACACATGGAATCCCACATGAACACTTTGGTGTCCATTCAGCAGTATATTCATCTCTGAATTGCCTGAAAGTGATGTTTATCCTCTTTGATCCTGAGATTGGATGGAGATTATCAATGACATTTTGAGAGCATACTTCATGTTTCCAAAGTTCTTGACAGGGTGGCCACATGATAAGAAGTGAATTATGAGGGAGAGGAATGGATATGGTTCTGGACGAATTTTCGTTAACTCGACGAAGACGAAATTGACGCGTGGTACCAAGTGAAAGCGAACCAATGATCGGACGTGGTCCAAGGTTTGTTAACTGGTAAAAATAATTTAATTATAATTTTAATCTAATCTCGTGAAAGACCGAAATACAGTATTACATACTTGATCGCTGTGCCAACCAACACTTTCTATTAATTTAAGAGCTAATTCGTGAGAAATCGGCACTATCATCATAGTGAAAGTCGAGGATACGAGTTTATAATAAAGGTATCATAAAGTTGTATCTGGTGTTGCTACAAAGTAAAGTTATTTTTTTACTAAGTTAACCTTTTTTCTACTTCTAATTAAAGTTGTAGAGCTCTTTTTGGCGATTCTTGGATCTTGGGATATCTTATTTCTCTTAATGATCACATAAAATTTCTTTAGAAATTGTATATGAAAAATTAAGATATCTCAAGAATCACCAGGCCAATTTTACTATCATTAGAATCGCCAAAATGAGCTCTACAACTTTAATTAGAAGTATAGGAAAGGTTAACTTAGTAAAAAAATAACTTTACTTTGTAGCAACGCCAGATGCAACTTTATGATACCTTTTATATCCTCGGACATCAATAATGTGAATTAATGATTCTTACCTTTTGAGTTTGCATAGCAATTTGTCTTTATGATAAAGATATGTTATCAAATAATAGTGAACATTCCATTTAAAACTAATAATAATAATAGTATTGATTCTTACAACTGCAACATTTGGATTCCATTCTCCTTGTATCTCGTGCTCATGACTTTTCGAATATATCACGTGATATGAATAAATGTTGTACAATATAATTAAATGCTGTACTACAGTGTTAGCAAGATTATACAGTACGATAATAGCAAATTTTATATTACATCACCCTGTTCTTGCGTTTCTCGTTAACAATGTTCATTATGATCTTCCTCGCCTCTTCCATTTCTGGTAAAAACTGTCGCGCGTTCACTGTCTTTTCACCGTTATAATAGACATCTCCATCATAAATGTTCTTGACTTCGTTCGAAATATAAAAGGATGATGTGCGTGGAGAAGTAACCAGTCGTTCAAATAACCACCATTGATTTCGATGCCATGTCTCAGATTCTTTAAGCATAACTTTTAATAAAGAATTCGCCAATTCCTTCGGTAGTACATCGTGAATAAGTGTACATGGTGTTTTTTCACTAATATCTTGTGGCCTAAATAATTGTAATACAGGTTTAATGATTCTACGTGGAGATTTTTTAAAACTGCGTGAATTTGTCAAAGACGGTGGCCACTTTAACACATCATTAAGGTTAACTTCTTTAACTGAAGTTTGTTGATTTACAGTAATTTCTGCTGGAATTTTGCCAATTTGCACGATTTTTTTCGTTTCTTCGCTTGTTGAATGAATATCGGAATCATCTAATTTGATCTTTTTAGACATGTCATTAAAAAAATATTCTAGTTTTGGCTGTTTTAGGGGTCGTTTGCGTCTTTCTTGATCTAAATAGATATTCACTGCACTTTCCAAGTCACCCTTCGCGCGTTTTAGAGCATCATGCAAACTTGTTTTATTAGCATCTTTGAAAAGGACTAAAAGTTGGCTCAGTTTATCGTCAAAGTCAGACATACTTTGCGAGTAAGAATTGATACAACTAATAATGAATGACAGGGCTGTTTACAAAAAAACATGATACCTGCTAGTGTTACACCTGATCTTGCAATTTTATTGGTTGCATAAATTGTGGGCATAAATATTTGTTTACATTTGATTCCTTGAAAACAGTCTTAAACGTATTTGTCCTTTTTAAATGTACGTTATTAACCTTTATTTATTTAAGTGATTTGTCTCTTGTGGGCCATTATCGTTGATATTGTTTGTTTATTTTTCTTTTTTTCATTTGGAGCCACACGTTACCCACGTGTTTATTGTTATTTTGAAATCTGAGTCTGAAAATTAAACGATATTTTTAAGGTTGGATTGATGCTAAAAAATTTCGTAAAGGTAAGTTTTTAATTATTAATATATAATATATAATAAACAAAGGAACGATGCGGGTGAATCGTCCCAATGACGCCGTAACTTGTCGTAATTATCTTTGTAATATGTATCATTATGTTACGGCAATTCACCTGCACCTCTATTATCCGCTGGAACACGCGATTCGAAAAACACGTGCACTTAATATAATGTGTACTGGCTATTATCGATCTAGCTCATAAGAAAATGGGCCTATTTCCACTGAACATTTTTTTTGGGGTCAATTTATTATACTAATAGTTTACAAAAAGCCATTTTTTTCGGGTCAATACACGTGAGCTATAGTCACATATCGTACATACGTACGTATGTACCTTTTTTTGGGTCATAACACGTGTACTAGTACTGTAATTTGTGGCAAATAGTACCCCGGGTCTCTTACATAAGGGCATAAGTACTAGTGATACAAATCAAAATCGAAATTAATCGATTAGTTGGTTAGTTGACACTGAACTTTTTAGATACCAACTAATCGACTAAAGAATTAATTGATAAGTTGCAAAGAATCGATTGAAAAATTATTTATTTACTTAATGAAATTAGTTGCAACTAATTGATTAATCGATCAATTACAACTAATTGATTAATTGAAGTTACAACTAATCGATTAGTTGCAACCAACTGAAAAAATAATGATCAACTAATCGATTGAAAAATTTTGACGATTTACAACACTAATTAGTACCCTGTGGGTACTTTATCAGATGGGGGTATTTTATGTGGGGAGGTTATGTACTTTAAATGCAATCAATCAAACGCAAAAATACTTGGACACATATGTTTTAGATATACCCGGACCTTTTACAATCAAGTTTACGAATCCCAGGTAGGGGGTATGCCAACAAGGGAATATTATTGCCGCAAATTACGGTAATTTGCAAACACTACATGATGTACTCAAGGATCACAAGATGCTAATCTCTACATGGTATGATCTAGTTAATAGCTAATACCATCAACCATAATCTATCAAATTAGAAAATGTTTAGATCGCATGTTTATTACAAACTTGACATGCCTGTTTCCTACAGTGTGGGTATCCTTAAACCAACATATAAAATATATAATTTTTAAAAGTTTATAAATAAAAACTTAAAATAGTTATAAATTAAATCTTTTCGTTAAATAATAAAATAAAACCTAAAGAACAAAGTTACAAAGTTTATTTTTTTAGTTATTTAATATTTAATAGAGTTATATCCTTTTGAAGTAATTAATAAAATAAAAACTTGGCCACATATATATTAAATTATAATAGCATAGCGAACTTTTATTGTAATTGGCTGATTTTTGTAGATCATCTTGTCATACTAAAGTATTATTAAAGTAATGATTTTTTGTCAAGAGAATCACAAGAATTGGATTCACAGCCTCAAATATGAATTCGCAGAGTTGTGGTATAAAAATTTAGAAACTATACCTTTTTCACTACAAGATGTCAAAGTAATTTGATAATTGGCAAGATAATTCAGAAATTAGATGAGAGCTACTTTTTGAGTATTTTAAACTTTCTATTTGGCTTGTAATTTATTTAAACTTTTTGATTTAAATTTTTTTTTTAGTTTTGCCAAGATGTTTATAGCTTATAAACAATAAGTAAATGGTATGTTTATTCTTCTCTATGTTTTTTCTATTTTATTTTTAACCTGACTTTTATTATTTTATTTTTTTAACTCTTTGATGGTCTTGTCAAAGCTCAAATACAAAACTTTATTTATTTAATCAACAATGGTAAAACCATTCCAACTAAACTAAGCTTTTAAATTGCAAGCTTGATATTTCTCGGCTGCAGAAACCATGCTCATGAGCAACTTGTTGCATCATTTTGTATACAAGTTGGATAGACCTTGTCAGCCTATCAAGAGCTAATTTCTTTAATTCTTCTTTCTTTACCAAGAGCAAAGGAAAGTAGTGATTTTATACTAATAC